GGGGAGTGGGTGGGACATGCTGGGGAGTGGGTGGGACCATGCTGGGGGAGTGGAGGGGACCATGCTGTTAAGGGGTGGGGCCATGCTTGGAAGGGATGGGACCATGTTGGGGAAGAGGTGGGACCGTGCTGGGGAGTAGGTGGGGCCATGCTGGGGCACGGGCGTGGCCATGCCGTGAGCCCTAGACGTGGTAAGGGAGGTGGGTGGGAACTCTTAAAGGAAGTGGGCAGAGAGCAAAGGAGAGGCTGGCCTTGCAGAGGGATGGGTGAGGCTTTGCCATGGAAGTGGACGGGACCCTGTAGCGGAAAGCTGGGGGACTCTGGGACTCTTTTTTTCTTTTGCAGTGGGAAGGTGCCTGTTCAGGTTACTTATTGTTGGATAAGGACACATCCCCAAAGTTGGTGGATTAAAACAGCAACAATCATTTCATTTTTTTTTTCAGAACATGAAGGTGGTTGAAAAAATACCAAAAAATTGAAAGTTAGATGTATTAAAACACATTTTTTAAATTTATTTTTATGAGTAAAAATTATGCATATTTATGTTTTACAATATGATATTCTCCTATATGTATATACTATGGAATATCTAAATCAAACTTTTTACCATATAGATTACTTTATTTTTAAAAATATTTATTTTTTGGTTATAGGTGGACACAATATCTTTATTTTATTTTTTATGTGGTTCTGAGGATCGAACCCAGTGCCTCACACATGCTAGTCCAGCGCTCTACCTCCGAGCCACAACCCCAGCCCCTAGATCACTTTAAATACTTGTTTTTTTTGTGAGAATACTTTAAGCCTAAGTGATTTTCAAATATACAACTCACATTATTATTATTTTTATATTTTTTGTAGTTGTAAGTGGACAGGATGCCTTTATTTTGTTTATTTTTATGTGGTGCTGAGGATCGAACCCAGTGCCTCATTCATGCTAGGCAAGTCAAGTGCTCTACCACTGAGCTACAGCCCCAGCCCTGCAACTCACATTATTTGAAAGTTAAATATTTTACTGATACCTAAGCCATAATTTATTGTATATATATATATATATATATATATATACCTTTATTTTATTTATTTTTATGTGGTGCTGAAGATCAAACCCATGGTCTCACACATGCGGGGCGAGCTCTCTACTGCTGAGCCACAACCCCAGGCCAATAATATTTTTTATTAAAACCATTTACTGGGTCTGGGGATATAGCTCTGTGGTAGCACACTTGTCTAACATGCAGGAGCCCTGGGTTCCATCTCCAGTTCCACAGAAGATAAAAATAAAACCACTGAAGCTCAGCACAGTGGCACATACCCGTAATCCCAGTGGCTAGGGAGGCTGAGGCAGGAGGATTTCAAGTTCCAAGCCAGCCTCAGCAAAAGTGAAATGCTAAGCAACTCAGTGAGACCCTGTCTCTAAATAAAATACAACATAGGGCTGGGGATATGGCTCAGTGGTCAAGTGCCCCTGGGTTCAATCCCCAGTCCCCCCTCCCAATACAAACAAACAAACCACTGACCACTTTAAAATATGTAAAAGAACATATACCAGGCGCACACAGTTTTCTTCTGGCTGCAGGTTCTGCTATGGCTTGGACCCAATGGTCCAGTCTTTATCTAAAATTTTGATATAGTCATCAGATTTTTTGCATTAATTTGACTTTTGAATTGTATTGTAACATTTTTCATCTTGATTACCAAGGGCTGTGTGTGTCTTAAATTCCATGCCCTACCCAGCCCTAGTGCTCACCCTGTTCTCCGCTGCGACTCCTCCAGCCTCTTTCCCTGTCTCTTTGTGCTTTCACCATATGGCTCCCGAGCTGTGACCAGGAGACCCCAGACTCATTTGCTGGTCGGTTTCCCACAGAGGATGTCTTGGGAGGCAGCTGGCCAGGTGGACACTGCCTTGCCTTTTATGACCTGTCTTGGAAGCCGCAGAGCCAACCCAAAGCTCTGCCAGGAACCACAGGGCAGGGCCTCCAAAGAGATGTGACACCATAAATGGCATCATTTTTGGAAAACACACTCTGCCACCACTCCCCCTCCTCCTCCTCCTGATCCTCCTCCTGGTCCTCCTCCTGGTCCTCCTCCTGGTCCTCGTTCTCCTTCTCCTCCTCCTG